TCATTGCATAGGTTGATTAAGTCTCATGTGCAACCCATTCAGTAGGAGTTCTTGCAGTTTCCTTTCTGCTTAACACTTTATCTGTCACTTGTGTCTTCTGGTAGCATGTTTTCTGTCACCTTATAGATTGTCTCATGCCCATTCAAATTCTTGCAGTTTCCTTTCTGTTAATACTCTGCATTCTTATTCGTATTACTTTGAATCTGGTAGAACCTCATTGCATAGGTTGATTAAGTCTTCGTCAACCCATTCAGTAGGAGTTCTTTTTTTTTTTCCTTTATTACTGTGTCTGCTATCAACACTGTGTTCATCTGCCACCCATGTCTTATGTCGTTAAGGAGTTCTTTCCTTTAATAATGAATACTGGTAGTTCTTCGTTAATTTTCTTTGAATCACTGCCACCCATAAAATGCCATTAAGTCTCTTTATTACCCATTCAGTAGGAGTTCTTGCAGTTTTCTTTTCTGTGTCTGCCATCAAAAATCTGCATGTCTTATGTCGTTTCCTTGTTGCCAAAATTGTCTACTTTCTTCTTTCTTCTTTGTCATTGCATAGGTTGATTAAGTCTCATTTGCAACCCATTCAGTCTGAGTTCTTGCAAATTCCTTTCTTTGTCTGCTATCAACACTGTGTCATCTGCATGTCTTATGTCGTTAAGATTGTTAAATAATGAATACTGGTAGAACTTAATTCTCTTTCCTTCACCTCTTTGTCTAGGTCTTGCAAGTTTCATGTTCAACCCATTCAGTAGGAGTATTGCAGTTTCCTTTCTTTGTCTGCTATCAACACTCTTGCAATGCATTCTTCGTCGTTAAGATTGTTATTTCTCAAATTTTGAATATTACTTTGTCTGCATAGGTTCTTGTGCAATTTTCTTTATTTCTCTGCCACCCATCTGCATAATGCCATTGTTGCCACAAATAATGAATACTCTCTTTTTCCTTTGAACTTTGTCTGGATTAAGTCTCATGTGCAACCCATTCAGTAGGAGTTCTTGCAGTTTTCTTTCTGTGTCTGCTATCAACACTGTGTCATCTGCATGTCTTATGTCGTTAAGATTGTTGCCAAAATAATGAATACTGGTAGAACTTTTCTTAATTCTCTCTGAATTACTTTGTCTGCATTTCTTGATTTTCTTTCATGTGCAACCCATTCAGTAGGAGTTCTTGCAGTTTTCCTTTCTGTGTCTCTATCAACACTGTGTCATCTGCATGTCTTATGTCTGATGTTAATGAATTCATTAATTTTCCTTTATTACTTTGTCTGCATAGGTTCTTAAGTTTCTTTGTTCGTCTGCATTCAATGAATTATGGTCCTTTCTTTAAACACTTACTCTGTCTGCAGTTCTTGCAGTTTTCTTTGAATCACCTCATTCATCTGTTGATTAAGTCTCAAATTCAGTAGGGAGTTCTTTCCTTTCCTTTCTTTGTCTGCGATTCTTGCTTTCATCTTCATCTCTTATGTCGTTAAGATTGTTACACAAATAATGAATACTTTAGAACTTTGTCTCTCTGAATCACCTCATTGCATAGGTTGATTTTCTCATCTGTCGTCTTGCAGTTTCCTTTCTGTGTCTGCTATCAACACTGTGTCATCTGCATGTCTTATGTCGTTAAGATTGTTTTACACAAAATAATGAATACTGGTAGAACTTTAATTTTCTTTGAATCAAATAGGTTGATTAAGTCTCATGCAACCCATTCAGTAGGAGTTCTTGCAGTTTTTCTTTGTTCGTCTGCACTGTGTCATCTGCATTTTATGTCGTTTCCTAATGAATACTGGTAGCTTCTAATTCTTGAATCACCTTTTCTTTGTTCGTCTCTGCCAACCCATTCAATGCTTGTAATTTCTCGTATTCAACACTTTATTACTTTTTCTTGCAGTTTTGTTTAAGATTCGTCTGCCACCCAAAATGAATTACTCCTCGTTTCCTTTATTACTTTGTCTGCATTCTTGCAGTTTTCTTTGTTCGTCTGCCAACCCAAAATGCAGTAAGTTTCTCAGTTTCCTTTTTAATTGTCATGCGAGTTCTTATGTTTTAATTCGTCTGCCACAAATAATGAATATTGTTTCTCCTCTTTCCTTTATTACATTGTCTGAAGTAGGAGTTTTTGCTTTGTTCGTCTGCCATCAACATGTGTCATCTGCTCGCTTTCCTTCAAGATTGTTGCTGCGAATAATGAATACTGGTAGAACTTCTTTGTTCTCTTTGTTCGTCTACCATCAAAATGATTGCATAGGTTGATTTAATAATACCCAAAAGTAGGAGTTCTTGCAGTTTCCTTTGTCTAATCAACACTGTGTCATTGCATATTTATGTTGTTAAGATTGTTGCCACCAAAATGAATTATGGTAGAACTTCGCTTTCTCTCTGAATCACCTCATTGCGGTTGATTAGTCTCAACATTTCCATTTGTTTTTCTTGCAGAATTTCTGTGTCTGGTGTCTTTGTCTGCAATGGTAGAACTTCTAATTTTTTAAGTTCATCTGCATACCATTAATTCATTAATCTTCCAATTCTATTTATTTTGTCTGCATATTCTTGTTCAAGATTTTACTGGTTGTTTCTTCATAAAAAACCAGTATTTCTTGCAAAATTTCTGTGTCTGCTATCAACACTGTGTCATCTGCATGTCTTATGTCGTTAAGATTATACAAAATAAAATCCTTTCAGGAATTTTTTCTCCTTTCACCTCCTTTTGTTCGTCTCAACACCAAATTATACGTTAAGAGACATCTTTAAATTTCTAAGTACTATTTTTGTCATTTGCATTTCCTTTTTTTATTACTATCTGCGATGTTCTGGTTTAATGAATTGGGAAGTTCTAATTCTTTTAATATCATTTTTCTCAAATTAAAAACCCATTGTCTGCGAGTTCTTGCAGTTTTTCTGTTATACGACTTGGAGAGGCTGAAATTGATGGAGTTAGTATTCATCAACATCTGGTTGAAAAATTTTGGAAATGGATCAATTTAGGTTTTTAATGTCCTTCCTCAAATATGTAGAATGCAGGTGACAGAGATGTGGTTCTAAAGGATAAAGGTTAACACGGACTGATTTTTTTTTCTGGGACATAATGAGGAAGGAGGGCCTTTTTCTAATAATCAGAGACAAGGGAAAACAGGTGTTGCATACCTAGTATAATTAGGAGGGAACACAGAACATTGTCTGGGAGAAAGAAACAGAATAAAATATTTGAGAATTTAAGGGATAGAGGGAGGTGGAGAGCAATGATCGCCCACATCCTGAAAGGACATAATGGTAAAAGAAAGAATGTCCTTCTTTTTGGGTGCATTTTTGATGTTTTTTATTTCCAGACAAATATCATGAAATTTCTTCAAAAGTACTATGGTATCTGGTTTTGATAAATAAATAGCAGATATTCAGATAAATTTTCTCTGCTGTGTATTGATTTAACATTCATATGTTAGTAGACAGTCTTTTCTTTAGGTTTAACATGATGCCTTTCCATAAGCTTTTCCTGTTTTTAGTACAAGTCATTTATATTTCCTGTGTTTATTAGATGTGTGCATGATATTAACGATACATGTTTATAGATATATATTTGTGTTGATGATGTCATTAAGATCAAAATTGAAAAACAGTTTTACCATTTTTATGTCCACACTCTTTTTTTGGTTTACATTTTGTTCTCTTCAGGACATCAGGTAATTAGTTCTAAACAGTTTGATTTTCATTGTTATCTTAAGATTATGGAGTTTTCCCATCAAACCCTATGGTTTTGAATTCAGTCAGCTTGTCAAAACAAGAGAACCAAGTTTACACTGTTATTTAATCCATTATGATACAGATTCAGGTTTTTCTCATATGTATTAAAGTAAAATGAACATGATAGATTTTAGGAATTTGAACTTTTTCTTTTTTTTTTTTTAATTGTTAAATATGCATATCCCATCCATATATATATATATATATATATATATATATATATAGTTGCAAAAAATCACTATACAGTTATTTACAATAACAATTAAAACAAATCTTTAATCAAAAGTCTAAATTTATTATTAATAACCTGTTCATACTGTACAATCTGCTTCATTGCTTTGGAACTTAATTATAAATGTATAGTGACTTTATTGGTATAAATCTGTGTGTGTGTGTTGTGTGTTATTCAGAGAGAGACATTCATTACTGAATTAAGTGCTTTAACAATTTTATTATTTTGACAAAAATATTTGAATAAAATAAATGTTGATATGCCTTAGTTTGAAAACTGATCCCCAGTAAATTATAAAAGGATGTTTTTCCATCTAATCTTTTTTCTTTTCTCTCTGACAGATAACATTTTAAGAACATGACACAATCTCTGAAAGACCCCCAGTCTTTCCTACCAGACACCCCTGCTCAATAAAGTCTTTCATTTAATTTATTAATTATTTAGTTTTTCAAAATACAAAGTTTAGTGACAATGTTTGGTTTTCTTCATTAGATATTACAATGAACTTTTTCAAAACAGTTTTAACTTGATAAAATTCAAATTAATCTATTAAATGCCAAAACATACATTTGCATCTTGGGGCATAAAACATATATAAATTCCAGTTCTATTTAGAATAATACAGTGGCAATGATATTTTCAAATAAGTTTCTGCTTATTTTGTTGTGCTGTATATTTTGTCTTGAATAAATAGCAGCAAAACCAAGAAAATACTCTTGCAAAAAACAACAAATACTTGTTTCAGATTAAATGGATGTATTTTTCCATAAAATTTTTCCATGTTCTTTATTATTTCACTAAGAATAAAAACCTTCATTAATATTAAAAAAAATTTTCTTCACTTGCTGGTGACCTTTTGCCCAATTTACATTAATCCAGTTAAATATACAATAATCTGATGTTCTGGAATTAAAATTTTAATTGTATTTGAATTTTTATCTTTATCAACAGGATTATAACAATGTTTTTGTAAAAGTGAAAAAAACAAAAATTGTAAAAAAAAAAATATACGCCTTTGATTTTGAGATGTTAAAATCCATGCACTATTTCCTTAATCTGTTTTTGTTTTACTTCTTTCTGACCAATCCATCTCTCTCTTTTTTCATGCATACAACCACAAAAGACTATCTATTTCCAATAATGGTAATCTCTTTCTTTCTTTATTATTGTATATGATTGAAAAGCTTATTTGCAGGCTTTTTCTGTTGGAAGTTAAAAAATTTTGAAGGCATTTTAAAAATTCCTTTGTTCAGAAGTGAATATGATTTTTTGTATAGCTTTTTATATTTATATATATATATAAAATTAATTTTACGATTGCATCTAGCATTTAAACAGACTTTTAAGTTTTAAAAGTTGACTTCTAGTTTAGAAAAAATTTTCACACGCTCTATCTCTGATATTGAGCACTTTATCCCATAAATATAGCACACCTTTATCGTTATATTTCTTCATTATATATATATATATTATATATATATATTTTTGATTATTTATATATAAATATATATATATATATATTAATAACAAATTTTTAAAATTTATTAATAAACTTAAAATTCTTTTTAAACAAATCAAGAGAATATTTTCAAATTTTTTTTTAGAAATTTTCTGGTAAATTCTTTTTTTTTTCAAAATTATTGCAAAAAATGAAGAATAATTTTCAGAATTTTTTATTGAATTGCAAATTATTCAAACCGAATGAAATACAATTAATTTTTAAAAATTTTATTAGAAAATTCTTGGAATGAAAAATAATTATTTTTATGATATTTCAGAACGTTAATTAATTTTAGAAAAATTGAAAATTTATCGAAAAACATTTTTTAGTAACTCAAAAATTACTTTAAAATAAAATTAGAAATTTTGAAGATTTTAAAATCATAATTTTTTTTTCAAAATCAAAAGACACAAAAATCAAGTTTACTGAATCGAAAATAAAAAAAAGAATAAAACTAAAACAATATTTAATTACAAGCTTAGATAAGGGAAATTGCTTTTTTTTTGTTTTATATATTGAAGACTTTATTGTTTGAAGAAAAAAAATTTTTTTCTGAATATCCATTTTTACAAGATTTGTTTTCATTTTTAAAACTTTTGAAACAATTTAAAAATTATTAATTTATGTTTTAAAAACAGTCAATTTTTAAGTGAAAATCCATAAGGAATTTTCTTATTAAGTAAAACTATATTTAAAATCATATTTTCAAAGTCTATAAGTAATATGAAGACCCGTTTTTTTCAAAATTTGGTGTTGTTTTCTATATGTATATAGATGCAAAAATTGTTGCTCATGGATGTCCAAACTGATAAAATCTATTTTTCAAAGGTCACAGTCTTTTAAAAAGGTTGTTACTCCCTCTGGTTTGATAACCCGTGAAATTTGTCATCTGCTATACCATACTTAACTTTGAACACGATCGGTGGTTAATTCGCCGTCAATAAATCTATTAACACGCAAAAAAAAAAACAAAAAAAAAACAACACCCCGTAGTTAGGAAATGCTTGTATGAAACCTTTTATGCTATAAATAAGTAATATTTGTTTCAAATCAGATTAACTTTAAATTTACCAATTTTCCTCAAAAAACGCATCAGAAATATATATTTTATTTTTGCAAGATTTTTATAACGGAAAATTAAGTTTTGTCTGCAAATGTCTAAAAATATGACCAACGTTAACGATTTTACTGAAAAAAATGCGAGTCTATTCCAGTCAATATAATTTTCGCAAATCTTTAAACCTCAACCCTATTTTCAACCTTGTAGAATCAGATTCCTACATTTTTTTAAATCTTAAATTTTGTGCAAGTTAAACACATAGAGGCTCCCAGACAAATATAACATGTATGTATTTTGATTGGTTGTAAAATATTAATTAGGTGTCGTCAACTACGTCCGAAGGTACCGACCCAAATTTTGACCTCTAGTTGACGCCATAAAATGTAAACATGTTTACGAGCCTCCCACGTGACCAAGAGAACTAATAAAACGAAACTTCGACGCGACTTGGTCAGGGCACTTAAAATATTGAAACCAATTCACTTGACTTCATTGGAAATCAACACAGCAAAGGAGACGAACTTTATCTTCAATACAACAACAAACTTTGTCAACCATCTCCAGGCTTAACGCTCACTCCCACAAAATATTCCATTCCACAAGAATCTCTGGTTAATGAGCGATAACAATAACAATCAGTGAGTCAAGAACAATACTTTTTTTTTATTTAATACACAAAAAACATCTGTTTAATTTTTCAATAAAAACAAATATAGCTAACTAAACCTTGTCATTTTCACACATACAGTACAGTAACTCAAATTCTTTCAGTAACACACACAGCAAAGAACTCTATTGTGTTTATCAACTTTTGCACTATATATTATGTATTTGTTGTGTTTATAAAAAAATATTTATTGTTGAACAAATTCATAATTTCTTCTACTTGATTATTTCTCTTGTTGTTGTCTTTGTTACATTTGATATTGTAAAAATTGTAGAGGGTCAGTTTTTATTTCTATTTATAACCAATACAAATTGGCTGACCCCCTATAAATTGGCTGACCCCCTATAACCTCAACCCTTTGATGCGGGAAAGCCGGGACAAATTTCCTTGCACTCTCGCAGAGATCTGCGTTTTGCTCACTTGTGGGAAAACGCCATGAAACTCTCTCTCTCTCTCTCACACACACACACACACACGTACGTACGAACATTTACCAAAATAGAATCTCTTTACGTTCAGACACAAGCACGAATGTTAATGTCTATGTACATTGTAGATTTTGTTGTTTAATACATATATTTGTTGACATATATATCGGTCTTATTAGTTTTCTTTACACTTCTTTATGGTGGATTCAATCTCTGAGTTCGCCATGTTCTTGTAGTTGGAACTTTTTCTAGCAGGAATAAAAATAATAATTTAAAGACACGTAAACCCACACTTGCTACAGTCACTTCTAATTTCTCGTTAGTTTTTTTTTTTTTTTTTTTTTTTTAATTTTTATTTAATTTTCCTTCTTCTTTTTTCTGCATCTTAATTTATATTTTGGCTTTCTTTTTTTCGGTTGTTTTGTCAGTTTCATTTTTCTTTTGGTTTTCTTTTTTTTTGTCTCTTTCAACTTCAAGATTTGCTTTCATTTTTCTTTTGTTTTGGCACTTTGAATTTCTATTTATCTTTTGCTTTCTTTAGCCCCTTTTCATTTACATTTCGATTTTATTTCTTTTGTCTCTCCTTATTTCTATTTTGTTTTTGTTTTTTTAGCGTCTTTACATTTCTATTTAGCTTTTCTTTTCTTTAGTCTCTTTCCATTTCTATTTTGTTTTTTGTTTTTCTTTAGTCTCTTTTCATTTCTATTTTAGTTTTCGTTTCTTTAGTCTCTTGTCATTTTTATTTTGGTTTTTCTTTAGTCTCTTTTCATTTTTATTTTAGTTTTCTTTTCTCTCTTTTCATTTGTATTTTCTGTTCTTTTCTTTATTATCTTTTCATTTCTATTCACCTTTTCTTTATTCTTTCCTTTAGTTTCTTTTAATTACCGTTTTCGTTTTCTTTTAATCACTAGCGAGTTGCACCTCCAAGGAGATTACCGCTCTGGCGAAAACAGATGGTGTTTATTATGTTAAAAAATCTGGCGGTTCTATGTCAAAATTGAACCAGAGAAAATCTACTGATGTATCTCTTACTATTCCACTACCCGCGGTAAGTTATATTATTTGATACATGTGAGTTTATTTAATAGACAGATCATTATTAGTTTAAATATAACTAAATTTACAATCTTTTTTTTTTAATTTATTTATCATCATTAAATTTTCATCATCTTTTTCACTGTGTCACGTACTTTTCAGGCCTCGAATATAGTATATAAAATTGATAGCAAACTGCTATAATGTGTTGGGACCAAATTTGAAAATGTCTTTAAACTCAATTTCAAAGAAATGTTACTCATATTTGTTCATAGACTTTTTTCATCTACATATTTTGTTCCACTACCTTTCGCCATGTTTGGGACTGACTTGTCTATTCTATTCTTGGTGTATATCTGGGTGACAAAATGATCTAAATGTTTGTTACTGGTTTCTAGAGAATTGAAGTTCTTCACATTCAAAGAATTTGTAAGAATCGAAATACTGTAATTTCCCATGTATATTACGCATTTTTGTCAAAAAAATAATAACAAAATCAGGGGTGCGTATTATTGTTGTAATCTAGGAAGGGTTACTGAATGAGGAATAACCAAAATGGAGGTTGGAAATGAAATTGCAATCTTCTCACATCAACAAAATACGGTACTCGCCAGCGGTATGAAGTAGGTAAACCACTGCTAGTGGTGGACTACTTAGACAGCTGATTACTCCCACTTACAATAGTGTCCAACGCATTTATGAGGATTGGAACATACCCATTAGTGTTCTTCATAGCGAGGGTATATAAAAATTATGAACAGCTACAAAAAAAAATCTTTAAAAATTGCGGTAAAATAAAATAAGAATTATAATAAAACTAAATTAGAATATTATTCTACGTTTAAAACCATTTTTAAGTGAGATTAGGAAACGCTGGCTGTAATGAAATTCGAGAGGAACAATTTATAGGGTTTGAATACCAAACAAGGTCTGCGCATTATACGTGAGTAATAGCAATTTCCCATACTTTCAGCACAATTTTAGGGGTGTGTATTATAGATGAAGGCGTATTATACATAGGGAATTACGGCAAGTGTCAGTCCGAATGTGAAAAGTCAGTTGATTAGGGTGAGTGTAGTTGCACATCCCTGCCCAGCTGTGTACCAATTTCTGCCAGGTGTGTACCGAGACATAGGCTATGGCGTTCCCCTGGTGAAAGACAATCCACTTCTAATTGGTTAATTCCAGACGGTTTTCATCGATTGTTGCTTTTAATGGATCCACCTGTGAATATTTCTGCTCCGAATTCAACGTCGGATTCTTTAGTCGGAGTTCGTAATTTACAGCACCCTTTCAATTCAACCACTTACATTGCATCACCTCCTTCGGGTGCAGGCAGGCTTTTTCAGTGGTTAATGGTGGCTCATTCTGTTGTCCCAAGAAACATTAATAGGTAATCCGAGTTCTTACTTTCCATCACTGAAGAAAATACGATAGAATTCGTGGTCCTTTCATTGCTGCTTCAACCGATGATCTTAACATAAAAGAATAAGCAGGTCACTACATCTATTGATTGTGGCTTATAAAACAATCATAAAGATGTGCCCGTTGAATAACCTTCAATATCTAGTAAAAATTGACTATTTTATTGTAATTTTCCACATCATACCTCTGTGTATTATCAGTAATAAATGCAAAACCAGATCAAATATTAAATGCATTGATGAAGAAATGAGAACATTTTTTATCACATATATGGCCTAACATTAAAAAAATGCCAATGTACATCAAGCATAGTTTTCCTACAATAATACTTAAATTACAATGTGGACAAACACAGGAGGCATTTATTTCGGAGCAACTCTCTTACGTCTGTCTTCAATAAACATATGCATTTGAATGAAAATACTTAGATTTGGAATGAAAGTATGTTTTTGAATAGGGAAGATTCATACATTTGAATAAATTTATCATGTGTGTCCCCCCCCACAAAAAAAATTATTAGAGGCTAGAACTCCAAATTTTAGCGGAACAGTTATCAAGTTCACTAGCATTTGTGTGTTTGGCGTAGATCTTTTTCAAATTTTTAATTGACTAAAAATTGTTCTTTTCTTTTTCTTTCCTTATTTTCTAAACAAATTTCTGTTCTTTTTTCTTTCATTTTCTCTTTATTTTCTTACAGGGCGGAAATATGGCTACAGTCATAAGAGTTAACACTGAAGACATTCTCACTAAAAATTATGACGCTTACTCTGTGACTTGCACAAGTGTAGTGAAAACTACTCTAACCTTTACGTTACCAGTTAACATGTAAGGCACTTTTTGAAACTTTTGACAAATCAAAAGGTTGGGGAAATCTACCGTTTAGGAGTTATCGGCACTATAAGTTCGGCCGGTTACAGCTCGGCCAGCAATTACTGGCGTTGTTTACATATGTTTGCCTCGATTAATCATGCGCGGAAGCTTCACTTGTCTTGATTATTGCGCATGCATTGCACAAACTTTAAAATGAATGCGCGAAATTTAAAAAGTAACTCAAGTTTTAGGCTTTTATAAAGGATGATTATTTACAAAGTAAAAAAAAACAAGTGCTAGAAAGGACTTAATAATAACATGAACAATTTTAAGGTTCAATTTTTTTAATTATTAAATTTGGGGGTTTAAAAAGCATGATTATTTACAAAAAACAGTTCTAGAAAGGATTTAATAATAACAGAAACAATTTTAAGCAATATTATTTAAGCATGATTATTTACAAAATAGCAATGCCATTTGCGGAAAGGCTAGCTTTTAAAATTTGTTTTATTATTTAAACAAGAATTCATTATTATTACAGCTTCACTATAAAAACACCACACTTGTCATTGCTTTTCTAAATAGCTTAAACAAATTTTTAAAAAAGAATTCAATAAAAGCTTCACTTTCAAATTGAGTCGAGTAAGAAGATAGGAGGCTCAGTAAAAAGGCTAAGTAAACTAAGTAAGCTACCGCGCATGATTCCGGGACTTAATCAGCAAATTTATCGTGTTATTTATTATCTGGTTATTATATCGTGTTGGATACACGGGAGACAGTAATAGTGAGTAAAAATGTGATATTAGAATCAAATATGGCTCGAAATCCGACAGACGGATAAAGAATAAGTGAAGTATATTCAGTCTTTCTCGTATTTTTTTTCTTATAGATGTGTGTAATGAGTGTTCAGATAATTGTTAAAAAAATACAAGAAGTGTTTGGGGTTTTCCTGTCTTGGATTTTGTTAAGTGCTATAAGAGATAAATGTTGCTATTATGGCCTGAAAATGAAAAAGAGATGAAATTTTTGTTGACGCACGCGTTGACGACCTGTCCGTGTGAACTACTTGTTCAATAGCAAGAATGTAACGTTTGTATATGTAGAGGATGAAAGTGGTGTCGCTTCTCATTGCTTTAGAATGAGTGAATTAATGATAATTATAATTGTTATAATTATTTCATCATAATTATTTTCAACACTGTAATTAATTTTTATTTATTTTTTATGGACACGACAATGTAAAAGAAAGAAGGCATTAAAATTTAGAAATTGTGTGTGTGATATACGCGTGTGTGAAAAATTGCAGTCACCCGGGAAAACATATCCCCATGCCTGGTGTTATATCTATCAGATGCTAGAAAGAAAAGAGAAAAAAACAAGAAGTGACCCATTTTCATAGTTGTTTAAGAGCACCACCTCTTGACGAATCTGGCAAAGTGATGTGGGAGTAACACGCACTGTAAATATTATTCCTAGATTTTAAGCAGAATCGGAGATATTTGCAATTTAGAGCGTTTACTTTGTGTAAACAGTCATCATAAAAGATTATTTCCTTTTTGCTTGTGCTAAATCATGTCGATTTTAAAAACCTTCCAAAATTCATGTAATTATCAGATTTTAATTTTTTAAAAATCATTTGGTATTTATGTAAAAGAAGACATTAAATTATGTCACTTAGCATCCTCCATAATTTACCTACACTTTCAGTTAACCTGATGAATATTTATGCGCGTCTCTTAAATTTTAAAATTTTGAAAAACTAACAATATTTTTACTTTTGTATTTATAAAATACTTGTTGCGAAATAAAAACTTTACATTTGCCTGGTGAAAACCATAATAGAACCAAACGCGTCGGTTAAGATATATTTTCCTTTTGTCTTTATTCATATATATATATGTGTAAATTATTTTCAGGTAGTTTATCTATACAGGAACAAAATGAATAAAAAGACAAGAGAAAAAAAACTATTCTTAGCCGGCGCGTTTCGTCCCCTGAGGGACTTTATTAAGCAATTGTTGAATTTATTTTGTTGCACATGTTTATATACAAAAGCAAGAATGACATTGGTTTCTCAAGGCTTTTAAATTTGAGAACGTTCATGAATATTCATCAGGTGGTGGAAAGGTCAACAAAACATGGAAAGAACACAAAGTATCATAATTCAGTCTGGTAAGGCAAAAATAAGCGAACGATATTATATATATATATATATATATATATATATATATATATATATATATATATATACAAATTGAGTAATAGACGGATGCACACAAACAATATGGAAAAAAACTGCACCAATGATAAGTGCATAAAAAAAAAAAATCGAAAAATGTATGCAGTCAATTTATGGTGCGAACACAAGAAAAACTAAATAAAAAGCTTAACCGTAGTACCTTGTCTGTCGTTTTTAATGAAATACGCATATATATATATATATATATATATATATATATATATATATAGGGGTGTCTTTGGAACCAAATGATGGAGATATCATTCGATTTTCTCAGTGTAAGAATTTTTAAATTTCAAACGTGTGTCTGCATGTGCAACAGATTTTTCGATTTCTCCTTTTAGAGGCACAACACCAAAACCTATCAACATAAGTGTTAATCAACATATAAGCGTCAAATTTTCTACGAAAAACCAGCAAAGCGTTAAAGCAGTAACTCTTGGTGAGGTGGTAACAATGAACATAACTGCAGGTAAGTGTTTCTTGTTTTTCCTCTTACCACCCAGTCTATTCACATTTTTCCCGCCTCCTCATCCTACTTCCAAGGCTCTTCACCTTCGTCCGTCTTTTCTTCTCTTCCTCCTACCTCCAAGGCTCCTCACCTTCCTCCGTTTTTCTCCTCCTTTTCCCCAACCTTCAAGGATCCTCACCTTCACCCGTATTTTCTTCTCCTCATCCTGTTTCCAAGGTTCATCACGCTCCTTCGTTTTTCCTCCTCCTCCTACCTCCAAGTCTCCTCACCTTCCTCTGTCTTTACTCCTCCTCCTATCTCCAAGTCTACTCACCTTCATCCCTCTTTACTCTTCCTCCTACCTCCAAGGCTCCTCACCTTCTTCCGTCTACTGTCCTCCGTCTGTTGTCCTCCTACGTCCGAGGCTCCTCACCTTCCTCCGTTTTTCTCCTCCCTTTTCCCCAACCTTCAAGGATCCTCACCTTCACCCGTCTTTTCTTCTCCTCATCCTGTTTCCAAGGTTCATCACCTTCCCCCGTCTTTACTCCACCTCCTACCTCCAAGGTTCCTCATCTTCCTCCGTCCTTTATCCCCCTAATCCTACCTCCAAGGCTCCTCACCTTCCCCCGTCCTTTATCCTCCTAATCCTACCTCCAAGGCTCCTCATCTTCCTTCGTCTTTTCGCCTCTCCCTCTTACCCCTGTCTCCTAAACTTCCACCGTCTTTTTCTCCTATCTCTGTCTATTCAGATTTATTCAAATTTTCTTCTCCTTTATTCCAAAGATAATGATAACCGCTCATTCCAAAGATAATGGTTAGCGCTCATTCCAAAATAAGGAAAACCACTCATTCCAAAGATAATGATAATCCTTCATTCCAAAGATAATGATAATCCTGCTAAACATAATGGTGGTACATCTATTACAGATGTTAATAGTGATATATCTTGGCCAAAAGTTTAAGGCCACCTGGCAAAAATTAACATTTCTATATTATTGCACGATTATATTATTGTATCGTCTAATTTTGGATAATGTAAATCGCAATTAAAAGCAATACTGCTCAATCCTCGAGTGTGAAACACTGTCACAAAGTTTTGACTAGTTTGAAATCTGTGAAATAGTTCTAAAGAATAGTTTTTATACATTAGAAATCAACAAAAAAAGCGTAATTTTCTGACATTCAAAACGACAAAATTACATGGAGGGCAGTATGCAAAACGCGAAAATCTCAGTTTAAATGGATTATAGACTACAGTAGACAATTCTATTCTGATGGCTGTTACGGTGACTAAAAGAAAAGCAGGCGTCCCACACAAATAAAAAAAAAGATAGTGATGGCCTTATCAAATCCATCAAATCACGATCTCTGATAAGTTCATGCAAAAAAGAAAATATATCCAATTGCTCTACTTTTCAGGTTTAGGTTTATTTTGTTTTACGGCATAACAGCCACCATGGCTTATTTAATGCCGACAAGATTTTAAGAGGAATAAAATATGTATTCTTTGTAAGAAATCAGGTGTCATTGACGTATTTTAGTAAAGAGATTTTTTGCCACGAGTAAAATGAATTGCTGGTATGTCTACTATAAAAATCCGTTTTTATAATTTCATTGTGTTTTGACCCTAGTTTGAGGTTCAACTATTTGCTTATGACTGAGACCCTAACAGGTGCTACCATCCTGGGTCAAAGTCAGGAATTAAGGGGTTATTCCAGGCTCCTCAAAACCTCCTGATCAGAGGCCTTGCTGCTGGATGTAGTTTATCGTTATACCTTGGACGATCTTCTTTTCAGCGGTTCTGATGTGACTGATAGGATTTATCTCACCAGTTACTCAACGAATTTCAATTAAAACCTGCACGAAGATCAAGATTGTAGAAATTAAATAAAAAGCACTTGGCATTCACCAAAAAAAATGATTATTGGACAGAGGAACAATGGGGAAACTGATGACTCCACAATGCAGTAATTTTTTTGTTTCTGCATCAACATTATGTCAGAAAGCCCCCATGAAAGAGATATAGTCGTCCCTCGTTTATCGCGGTTAATCAGTTCCAGACCCTACCGCGATAAGTGAAATTCCGCGAAGTAGGATTATTTACAAATCAAATATTTTCGCAGAGCATAGAAAACCTGTTTACAACCTTCTAAATACAATTTTTGATAAGGGCTCTCTAGACATAAAATAACACATCTTTAGTATTTTTTAAACTTATGTTATCTAATATATTAGACAAAATAAGATATATTAGACGTTACAAATATCATATTATTCTTGTACATTAAAATCACACACAAAATTCTTACGTGTACATCGTTTCTTCATCGAACAAATTGCATTACTTTCCTAGGTTAGTGTGAGCCTAGGAAAATAATGCAACTTGTTCGATGATGAAGCGATGAAGAGATGTACTACACAACAAAGGTTACTGATCTTCTAAATCAATTGCATAAACATTCTTTATATCTTGGTAGGACTAATAAGTATAATTTGATGTTTTCTTTTCAGCACCTCCTTGAAATCAATTCTCCTATTTGCATAAATATCTTTGTTTGTAGTTTTGTTACCAAAAATAAAATTTGGTTTTATTTTAATCAAATAGTATTGCTTTTTTGTACTCGAGTTGTTGTCAACTTACTATCTACTGAACAATTTTGTTTGCGAACTCCTTTGTATCAACACGCAGCTAAACACATCACCAACAAATAATCCACAGCACACTTGCAACAATAGCCAATCAGTGAACAGCAACGTCCTGATTGCCTTGGTTTCACCACACCCGATTTTTAAATAATACAGGCCTGGAAAAAAGTTTTTGCTCAAATAAATAAGCCTACAGTAATTTTAATACAGGGGCAGACAACTGACTCAGACAACCAAGCGCGCGCTGTATTATTTTCACTCTCTCGTTCAACTGAAGTATCGGCTGTGTGTCTGCTCCTGAGATCTGGGTAAGAACTTTTTTCCAACCCAGTAGTGGCCCATAGTCAACCGCGAATATAATTTTTTAATGAAAAGATCTGACAAAACCGCGATAGAGTGAAGCCGTGAAAGTCGAAATGCGAAGTGGCGAGGGACGACTGTAATGAAAAATATACCATACAAATTATGAAATTAGCTTCCAGCCACATGCTTTTCTTTAATTTCCTAAACACTGGAAGAACCGTGAATAGTCAAGCTGGAACTGTTGCAGCATAAACTAGAGATTCACATGCACGTGCATGGTTGCTGCATGCCAGTAAGCAAAGAAAGTGCAAACATATTTTAAGAGGATTAAGGTATCTACGTTCGAATGGTCTGGCGACAGCCTTGTCCCCAATCCCATATGAAGTTTCATATTCTTTTTTACAGGTTATATTTTTTGCTGCAGAATTTATTTTCTTCCTTATACCGCTGATAAAATTCTTGGATTTTCCCTTTATATTAGTCCTATTTTCTTACAAAGATTACAATTTTGGATCATCACAAATACGTATCACAACAAGAAATATGGAGGCAATAGTCCGCGTGTAAATAATAACACCTCATTCCAAAATTAATAATAAACTTTCATCCCCAAAATAATGTTTATCTTTCATTACGAAATGAATGAAAGCCCATTATTCCAAAAATAATGATAATATTTCATCCCGAAAATATTAAGAAACTCTCATTCCAAAAATAAGGATAATGCCTCATCCCAAAATTAATGATAAGCTCTCATTACAAAAATATGCATAACCTCTCATTCCAAAAAATGGATACCCTCCCATTCCAAAAAATGGATACCCTCCCATTCCAAAAAATGGATACCCTCGCATTCCCTAAATGTGCGAGAGCACCTCATCCCAAAAATAATCATAACCCCTCATCCCACAAATAATCATGACCTTCATCCAAAAAAATAATCATAACCCCTCATTGCAAAAATAATCATAACCCCTCATTGCAAAAATCGAGACAGTATATATTATTTTCTTACATATGTTACAACTGGATATTTTCTGTTACAAAAGCTATTTAGTTTCAGGCGTTACATATATTTTCATCATATATGTTACAAACGTTGTTACAGTTGTTACAAAGATTTTTGTCACAGTTTTTCCTCTGTTGATAATGCTGCATTTTACATTCTTTTGTTACAGACAAGATATTCAAGAAAATCGATGTGAAAAAATGTGATGCATCAGACGGAAGTAAATCTGGAAAATCACTTCGTATCTATCCATCAAAAAGGTATGGCATCATTTTGAACATTGCTACCAAATGAATTGAACTTTTAAGAATGTCTGAATCGGTAAAGACGTACACGAACAAAAATATTTCAGATGTGTTAAAGAAATTGATTCAATTTGAATACACAGGGTGTTTTAAAATATATATCATTTGAGATGAAAATTGGAAATGAAATTAAACAAGATTATTGTTGAGCAAAATAAGATTTATTCATCAAAATTTAAATGAGAAATTTTGCAGGTTTTCAACATGAGCCCTACCTATACAACATTCGCTTCTGGTGAGTCCCTTGATTTTCTTTGTCCCAAATGTGAACATTATGCTTGCTAACTTTGCAGTTTATATGAAATGTGGAATAATCACTGAAAATAAGACGTCTTCAAACTCGTCTTCTTCAGGTTTCTCTTGCATATCGACACAGAATTGTTTGCGCTTTTGTTGGTTTTTAAAACCTGAACGAGCCCGCAGCTTGTAGGATGTCATTTGCAGGCATTTCCTGGTGACATCAAAATTTCGAAGGAATCCATGTTATCCAAACTTGCTCTTCTTATGTACTTCCTGGGATTTCACAAAAAAGTTTCCCGAACCCGTTCGACCATCTCGTTCGACGCCGATAGTCATCCAGATCTTTTTGCCATGCACAGCCTTCACCTTTTAATTCTTTATGCAATGTTCAAATATGCATTGCAGTTATCTCCCAAATTCATGCAGTACAGTCTTCTTGTTCGACTGTGTTCGAGTAGACTCTAACAAACAAAACGACTTTTCTTTTCCAATGAATGGCATTTCTATATCTGAAAAAATGCTGTTAAAATTTGTGATCATTTGAATGGAATTAGATTTGCGAAACTATATCATTTTTTCTGAAACACCCTGTGTATTTGCATTTCACAAAATCAAACATACATTTTCTAAAAAGTTTTCACATTGAATTAAAAAGTAACTAATTAAAATAACATGAATTTCAAAGACAAATGGCAGTTAATTTTTCAAAACAGACTTGCAACAATATTGAATAGTTAAAAACTAATTATGAAAGCTTTAATATAGTCCAAGTCAAAACTATTATTTGTTAACACAATATCAATCTAAATCGCAAATAATAAGCTTGCTTTCTAAAATATAATAATTTATATTCAAACATTTTGTTATTTAAATCAAATTTTTCAGGAATATCATGAAGTTAACACCGAAGGGAAATTCAGCAACTTTAGTGTTTGAAGCATTTCAGTTGATCAGTAGCAAGAAGAACACTGTCATATTTAAATGTGATCTTATTCTCTGTGTGGAAACTATTTGCAAAGTACGTATGGACCCTTTTTTAATTAACCAAGTGAAGCATAAATATAAAAAATGAGGAACTAATTTCAAGCAGCATGTAGATCGAGTTTGAATATCATATCAAAATAGCATGTAGAAAAAATGTAATATTTTCGCAGGGATGTTCACCCTGTACAAGGCCCGGGAGCCACTTGAGGTAGAGGGTTACAGAGTAAGAGATACAGTTTATGCAGATATGTCGGGGAAGATAACGTTTGAGCCTAGACTTCGAATAGATTAAGATTGTAGCGATCAGGGAAGCATCCTTCCGTGA